GGGCCCTACAGGGCTGATGTTCAGCCGGGGTTGCGGGGTTAGCTCAATGTGGCACCGCACTCACTCTCGCGTTACCCTGGGCGGCGGGAGAAATCATTTGATGATTATCCCTGACAAAAAAAGGGGCCCCACAAAGAGGCCCACTCTAACAGACCCAAATCCGTCCCTGTACACACGCTTAGCATAGCGGTGTTTTTATAACCGGCGTTATTGACCGCTCATTCTTTGTTCCAATGTTAGCTAATCGAACGTTTACAGGTTATGGCACACCAGGGCTCCCTTGTATTTGATATTGGCTGATCAATTTTACGATTGAGAACAGATAAAAGGGCAATGACACGGTATAAACAGATTGAATTGTGATTTTTAGTTTAGTTCGAATAGTTTTCGTCGAGGATTTTTTTTATTTCGATACTTAGTTCAAATATCTTAATAAGTACTTTGTGTCAACAGACTAGATGACAGTATTTAAGATTTAGCTTCGATTTTTCTTACCATGATTCTAAACAGAAACTGGAGTCTTAGCTCCAGTAATTTCATGTCTATAGCCAGCAACATCGTTTTAATTTATCTGATTTTGCCAAATTCAGCCACAGTAGTTCAGCCATAGTAGTAGCCGTAGTTCAATAACATCTCTAGATTTTTTGAGGTGAGTCATCAAGATTAAGTAGATTCTCCAACTTCGAGTAGCGAGAAGGAATCTAACATTCCTTCTCGCTACTCGAACTCTTACTGACTAAATACCACCCTGTTCCTTCTTCTGTTTCGGTCCGAGAAAGCAGTATATTCTTGCAACAAATCTATAAAGAATAAGAAATCTTCTGGTCATCAATAAGTCATGTGGTCAACTAATTAATTCACACACATTTGTTTTCTTGCTAAAGCAATAACGATTATCGATACTGAACTTCGATACGGGCTGAACATGTACAATATCGTGATCTTCTCATTTGTTCCTACATATCTCATAAAAAATGGTCTTGCCATCGACTTGATCGAGATCAACATCAATCCAGTTAAATGAAACAACCGCATCTTACAAATCCAATCTGCATCGACCCTTATCGCAACACATTATAAACAATTTATTGCTAATACTATAACATTGGTTTACACAATCCATATAAAACGTGATTCTTTAAATGTGCATTGTAAAACAAAGTTTTCCTGTTGGTTAACCAGAGTTTTGTTTAACGGTTTTAACCGCATACGGTAGCTCTGCTCTTGTGGAATCCCAACCATAGACATTTGCTGGCTAATAATGTAATCGGATTGCAGTGTGGACTGATACGATTTGATTCCGTGACTCATTCTTTGGCACAAATGGACCGGCTCAACCAGAGTAGTACAATCATCATCATCATCATCATCAGCCCTTTTCAGTCCACTGCTGGACATAGGCCTCTCCTATTGCACGCCACTGGGATCGATCTTCGGCCACTCGCATCCAGCTCCTGCCAGCCATCTTGCGCAAATCATCACTCCACCTTGCCTGAGGACGTCCTACATTACGTTTGCCGAGACGCGGTCTCCACTCAAGAACTCGTCTACTCCAACGGTCATCGGTTCTTCGGCTAATATGGCCAGCCCACTGCCATTTCAGCTTGCTAATCCGGTGGGCTATGTCGATTACCTTGGTTCTCTGCCGGATCACCTCGTTTCTGATTCGATCTCGCAGAGAAACGCCGAGCATAGCCCTCTCCATAGCTCGCTGAGTGACTTTTAGCTTGTGAACCAGCCGCACCGTCAGTGTCCACGTTTCGGCTCCGTATGTCATGACAGGTAGGACGCACTGATTGAAGACTTTCGTCTTTAGGCACTGTGGGATCGACGACGTGAAGACTTGACGCAGCTTTCCATATGCTGCCCAACCTAGCTGAATTCTTCTATTCACCTCGTTCTCGAAGTTGTTTCTACCCATCTGCAATGTCTGCCCGAGGTATACATATTTTTGAACGACTTCGAGAACAGCGCCGTGTACTGCAATCGGTTCCGGTAGTACATGTTCATTGAACATGACCTTGGTTTTATCCAAGTTCATCCGTAGGCCGATGCGTATAGAAGAGTCAGCCAGGTCATTCAGCATCCGTTGTAGGTCCTGCAGCGTTTCTGCTACGATGACGATGTCGTCTGCAAATCGCAAGTGAGAGATGTACTCGCCATTTATGTTGATGCCGCGTCCTTTCCAGTTCAGCGTCTTGAACATATCCTCCATTGCATTTGTGAACAATTTCGGGGAGATAACATCCCCTTGTCTCACACCTCGATGCAACGGTATCGGCCTTGTTTGCTGATCCTGTACTTGGACGGACATGGTGGCGGCCTCGTAGAGACATTTCATCACTTGGATGTATCGCCAATCTATTTGGCATCGCTGCAGGGACTCCAGAACAGCCCAGATTTCGACCGAGTCAAAGGCTTTCTCATAGTCCACAAATGCTAGGCACAGGGGCTGATTATACTCCTCAGTCTTCTGTATAATCAGCCGCACTGTGTGGATGTGGTCTATGGTGCCGTATCCGCTCCGAAACCCAGCCTGCTCCGGTGGTTGGAATTCGTCAAGTCTTCGCGCAAGGCGGTTCGTGATCACTCTCGAGAACAGCTTATAGACGTGGCTTAAAAGGGAAATGGGTCGATAATTCTTCAGTAGGGTTTTGTCACCCTTTTTGAAGAATAAGACGACCACACTCCGACTCCACGCCTCTGGAGTTCTCCCTTCAAACAGGACAGCGTTAAATAGCTTTTGCAGCTCCCTGAGTACCGGTTTGCTGCCTGCTTTTAGAAGCTCTGTCGTAACGCCATCCTCTCCAGGGGCTTTTCCATTTTTAAGCTGTCCAAGAGCGATCTCGATTTCGTCAATGCTGACTTCTGGCAGGTCTTCGGTGTAATGGCGTATTAAAGTGGCTCTAGAGTCCTCATTTCCGGGGTCAGGTCGAGATGCATGCGAAGCGTATAACCGGCCGTAGAAGTTTTCTACTTCCGAAAGAACTGCCGGCTTCGAGACAACGACTTCTCCACTTGCTGTGGTCAACTTCGTCAGGTGGCTTCTTCCAAGAGATTGTACGAACACTTTTGGCCCCCGGTTTTGCTCGATCGCTCTCTCGATTGCATGGGTATTCGAGCACCGGAGATCGTGTCGCACGTGTTTGCTAATCTCTCGGTTTAGAGCCCGCTTCTCTGACGAAGTGACGGGTGGGTTTTCACGTCGTCTCTTCATAAGCCCTAAAGTCTCTTCCGAAAGCTTCGACTTCTTGCCCTTACGCTGCATTTCACAAAATCTCGTACCTTCTTCCCTGAGAACTCGAACCACGTTTTCAAGGTTCCGGTTAACGTCGGTTGTGGTTTCCAGGGCAGCAAATCGGTTCTCCAGGTTTAACTGAAACGCTTCAGATCCCATTTTGATTTGAAACAGGGTTGGTCGGAGCCTGGCCTTCATCAAGCGGACTCGTTCGGCTCTGAAGTCGATATTCAGAGAGCCTCGGACGAGTCGGTGATCGCTACCGGTATTAAACCTATTAATCACGGAGACGTCTCTGAATATGTGCCTTTTGTCCGCCATGATGAAGTCGATCTCGTTCTTTGTCATAGTGTCGGGGCTTTGCCACGTCCACTTCCTTTGGGGCTGCTTCTTAAAGAATGAATTCATTAAGAACATCCCCTCCCGTTCGAGGAAATTGACGAGCATTTGCCCCCTATGATTCCTGTTTCCATACCCATGGGATCCTACTACCGATTCACTGCAATTTTGTACTCCCACTTTGGCGTTAAAGTCCCCCATAACAATGTTGAAGTGAGTCCTAGTGGTGGAGTGGAGGGCCCTCGATATATCATCGAACATCTCCTCCACCTCATCATCGGAGTGTGCCGAGGTCGGTGCGTACACTTGGACCACCTTAAGGCTATACCTCTCGGTGAGCTTTATAATGAGGTACGCCACCCTGTTCGACACACTCGACATTTCCACAACATTGTTAGATAGGGACTTGTTAACCAGAAACCCAACGCCACCTTGGGATTTTTGGTCTCCCTCACGGAAGTACATCAGGTGGCCTGATTTGAGAGTTATCGTGTCCTCCCCCTCTCTTCGGACTTCACATAACCCTAGTATGTGCCACCTGATCTTCCCAAGTTCCACCTCTAGTTGCGCTAGATGCGAGTCAAGCCGTAGCGTGCGTCCGTTGTACGTCGCCAGGGTCAGTCTGTTGTGGTGGCCTCCCGTAGCCCGGAGATTCTTAGCACCCCCTACCCCACCGTTACCATGGTCGCCACCATGACCAGGAATAGTGGGGCTGCCGGGAACTGGGGGCCGTGGCCTTCGTTTTTTGCCCATAGGAGGTATTGCCCATAATCGCCACGCTGGGCAGGCGGGTTGGCGATCGCAGGGCGAAACTTTTCGCACCGGTAACGCTGCTGCCCGTCACCGGCCTGCGGTACTTAATTTCGCCTGTTTGTAAGGGACGGATATACCGCCGTCGGTCGGTCGCCAGAGCCTCGTTCGTTGACCAGCAGGATGCACCGCGTGCAGGTGAGGTTGGCTTGGGGCGAAAGATGGAAGTTCGCCCCCTTACATCCCCAGAGTAGTACAATGGCATCACAGAATACCGGCGTTTAACAACCACAGTGTTATGTTTCACCGTGTGTTTGGAGTTAACGGAGGCCTTTTCCCTTACCTACCCCAATCACTAAATTTACCAAACCCCAATCCCTCAAATCTGGCATCAAAATCGTAACTCCTGAGGATGTCTATGGGTGGCTCCGATTGCTTACCATCGATCCCTTTGCTCGTCTGCCTAAGTCAATAAATATTTCCTCCTAATAACATACACAGAGAATAACTAATAAATGAAAAGGTGGATAAAAAGAAACGCATAAGACATATTTCGCCATTCCAGACAACTTACGACTGATGACCGTCTTCATTAACTTAAACTACATCGACAAAAGTCAAAAAAGTCAAAAATCATTTATTTCAGTTAGACCTTTACAGGCACTTTTGAACGTCAAACAACATTTTGAAGATGTAGTGTCAGTCTGTCGGTCAGTCCTCTTAGTGAAGCTATTTCGACGAACAGATTCAATCTTCTTTTTCTTTAAATAAAACGTTGCCTCACACTAACCACTTATTTTTAATAAACAACGCAGATAAAGTACTATTTCTAATGTTTACTTTTTATTCTTCCACAGATGTGACTACCCTCGTCATGGCAGCCACCGACGGCCAAGTTGTGGCCGCAGCTTCGCGCTGGTGTGAGGAAGGGAGCTATCTGCGAGAGTTCGCCGTCAAGAACCGCTTGCCAAGCGTCGCCAAGATCATCAAAGGACAGTATGGAGGCCTTGGCGTACCAACACTTCCAAGCCCTGGACTTCAGAGCACCGCATTGCTCGTCTCAGCAGGAAAAAGAAAGAAAATTATAGCTCAAGCCATCAAACTTAAAGAAGGAAGACGGATGGTAAGCGTAGGACCTCGAATAGCCATTCCCGAAACGTATAAAGGCTATTTTGAATTACTAAGCGAAGAGGGCCGGGCAGTAAGGTGCATCGAATCTGTATCAGAACTAGCTAGAAGAAAGCTAGACGATGGATGTCTTGTTAGAGAACCAGTTAGAGTAATTTGTGCTAAAACAGACTTAGATGGCAATGTGACAGCTGATGGGGCTAGAAATCTACCAGCTGGGGAGGTCATTATGCCTAGAGGAGAAACGTTCTTAGGTAAAAATAAGTATTTGAAATGTACAGACTCTAAAGGAGACATGATTCTTCTGAGTCTAGATCAAAGAGGGAAGTTCTCCGCAGTTGCTAAGGAAGAAAACATCAGTGGAGTACACACAGCAAAGACTTTGTTGACTAAACGTTTGCCTATTACTGTGAGACTGGTGCATGGAACTCCGCCAAGAGGGCTAAAAAGCGCCAGCCATTTTGTCCCAGAACTAAGACTGCTGTCAATGTTTGAGGAAGACCACGTTTTTGCTCTCCCCCTTCCAAAAGAAGGCAATGCATTAGTAGCACTTCCCTTAGCGGCTCCACTAAAAATGCAAAGATGCAAGAACGAGGATCAAATTAAGAACTTCATGGAATTTTCTAGACTAGTGGAAAAGTGTAATCGTTTATTAGTTGATGTTGTGGATAGAATACATGTGTTGGATGGAAAGTTAGGTGATCCTAAGAGGCTTCTGAATGGACCTCTACATGCCCCACCTTTAGTCAAAACTGGATACTTCCTTAGACGCAGTGCATCATCAGACACGGCGAACCAACACAAGCACATGTCTCGCCACAATCACATCTACAGCAGTCATCGAGACGAGAACAGTATCCCGGACGAATATGACGAAATAGACCAAATTTACGACTACGTCAGAGGATTTGCGCCTCTACCTAAGAATATAAAAGCATCATACTCTAATGAACCATCTCCAAGACACGAATCCGCACCATCATCACCTGCAGCAACTCCTATTCACATGCCTTTAATCACAGAAGTTAAACCAGAACCACCGCCGATAGAGACAATACCTACAAAGAAGCCATTGAACATTCAGAAGGCAGAGAAGAGAACGAGAAAAGCACCAACTCCTATCAAAGAAACCCCAGTCACTGTTTATAAGGAAAAATGTTCCATAGCTCCTGCAGCGAATCTTCCTAAACTGTACATCAAGAATAGTGTGAACAATAGTAAGAATAGAATGGTCTTCCGTCAAAAGAGTACTTCGCCTACTAAAGAGGCACCTAGTCCAGTAACTAGTCCGATACGACCGATCAAAGGTGACTCCCCAATCTTCAATATAAGATATAAAAGTCTATCAAATATCCACCAGGCCATGGAATTGGATGGTACGTTAGATTCTAGCCATTCTGGTGGAAGGACGTCTGGGGATTCTGGCAATGGTCCCAAATTGCCCGAAAAACGGTCTAGGAAGTTAAGCAGGCCGAAGTCATTGACGAATCTGGTTTGGGAGCTGAAAGGATGTCCTGATCCGGAGAAACCTAAGTCTAGAGTAAAGAATGAAAGCTACAAGAAGATTGGTAACAAATTGTCTTTGGGAGCTCAGAAAAGGGTGCCGACGTTGTATCTTTAGATTTTGGTAAGTTCCATTTTCCTAATATTATCTTCATAATGACGCACAAAGTCGGAAGAATGGTTAAAGCTATTTATTCAATACGATGAGCCCGATTTAAACAGCTAACGGCAAAAAAAATGGAAAATCGTAAGCCTTATAATCACTTTTGCCTGTTGATCGACCCAAATGCCACAATTTTTTTGATATATGTAAGGCCTTCCATGTAGGCAGACCTGATGATAAGCAATCAGTCGGTCACCCGCAAAAATATAGGAGTTACGAATACTGCTACGAGACCTTTCAAGGATAAGGAATTTAGAGATTTAGGGATTAGAGAGGGGAAGGTTAGGGCCTCCGGTACCCCACTCACACGGCGAAACACAACGTTGCAAATTAAATGGCATCAAAAGTTTCCATAAACACACAACTTCATTGTATTGCAAAGTCGGTTAATAACAACTTACATATTAGTTAGCAAATTCTATGTGAAGTAATCTAACTTTAACTGGAAAATGCTATCTTGCAAGCATGCAAGTCAAGAGGTCACGACCTCTCTGCATTCAATGTTGCATCCTCTTTGTTAGGTAAAGTGTTATGAAGGAAATATGGGGATATCAGTGGTATATATTTACCGTCATACACTTATATTCAGAGAATAGTTTTCGGAACAAATTCTTTACTAAGGTTAAGTAAGGGTTTTTTTATAGGACAGAACGGCAGATGGATTATCTGATGGTAAGCAATGGCGCCGCCCATGGTAACCCGCTAGACCAAAGGGCTTAATATAAACATATAAGGAATGGGAAGGGATAGGGAGAGGTGAAGGGATTGGGTTGTTCCACGCCGGTTTTCTGTGAGACCGTGGTATCAATCCGGTCGACCCAATCCATGTTTTGATATATAACGATTGTCCAATATTTTTTGCCAAACCCTGACCTAACTCACTCTACTTACGAGATGGTCCATGCCTTCAAACTCTGCTAAAATTCGGAGAACTTCCTTGACGTTTCATTTCGTTCGTTTTTAAAACAAAAAACAGAATTATTTATTAACTATCCATTTACACCGGCTTCGCACGGGTGCAATGCTATTACAAAATTTCTCCTGTATTTAATCCATTACGTAGTTTTAAAGATTGAGGCGTACACAGGGATATAGGGACAGAGAAAGCGACTTTGTTTTATACTATGTAGTGATAATTCATTCTCTTACTTACGAAAGAGGTAGTCAATAAGAAAGTTGTACTGTAGAAAATAAATGATATGTATCCTAAATAGCGAACAGTTGGCATTACTTCAGAGCTCGTCTTTACAAATGTCGTAGTACCATTAGTTCATGATATGTCAGCCCACAGATTTCCTATAAATTGTGAAAATGAATGAGCATTCATTATATTTCTTGTATTTTGTAATTATCTTTCGTTGGGTTTCTGTTGGTTTGTTTGTAATTAACATTGTACTATGTTGTAATTAACTCTGTCTGCTGTCTGTTAGAGCGGGGTGTAAGCGTAATGTGTTTTGGGCGATAAGGTGTATTTTTGTTTGTAGGATGTTTTGCGAAAAAGGAGATGTATGGACTGTTTTAAATATGATTTAATACTTTTTCTGTTTTCTTTTACATGTGTAGCGCTAAATATAGTGGACTGTATAAATATATGTATACGCATAGCTAGGTAATTCGCCGATGCGTTGTACTGCTATTTAGTATCGGTTTGACCACAATGGAATTGCCTTATTTGTTGCAGAAGTAGAATAAACAAATGTAGTTAGTGTTTTAAACCAGATTCAGAATTAACACAAGTTTTATCTTGAACTTCACTTGAGAGACGCCATGGTGTTCCGACCTCCGCCTGACACAGGTGCTTACCGCGCTCGGCAGCTTGGATAAGTTCTTGTTTCGGATCTGGCAGGAGAAAACGCACGTATGTCGCCATTGTTCAAAAGACACGTATATATGGAGCATACGATAGCAATCTGCCCATCCTGGGCTGAGTACCGCCGTGCCTTCAGGGGAGTGATCGGCAGCGGCGACCTTTCACGTTCGACCTTCGTCGAGGGCACGTTGCAGGGCGAGAGGAACTACGAATCCGTATTCTCTTTCCGCCAAGCAGTAATGATCGCAAAGGATGAAGTGGAGCACTTGAGGGAACTGTCGTCCTCGCGCACCAACTGCCGCAGTAGGCGACACTCCATTAAAAACAAACTAACACTATTCCATAAAGAAACGACCAATTTGTTCATTCTAAAGAAACATACACTATGCATAGTATGCATAATGCATAGATACTTTTTTTGTGAATGAATTGTCAAGTCTTGTGAACTCAAGAAAACAATTGACGACAATGCATTATTAGGAATCTCAATTGTTTAAGTTTTTTTAGTATTTTGTATTCAGACATTCTTTAATAGTATTGCAAGCTCACTTATGTGCCGGCTTCAAGCGGGTGACGGACGGGGTGGTTTTTAGTCAGTAACCCGCTTATTACAAAACAAGATTTATCTTTAGTCCAGGTTTAAACCATTGAGTCGGGTTTTGAATTTTGAACCTTATTCAAATCAAATCAAATCAAATCAAAATCATTTATTCCAACTAAACCATAAATAGGTACTTTTGAAACGTCAAAATAGAGAAGTAGTCTGTCAGTCTGTTCGTCAATGAAGCTAGGTGCTCGTTCCAAATTGTGGTTTCGAATGGAGAAGAACGAGCAAGGAACTCCATTGTTACTCTTTTTATAAAAATATTTTTTTTACAATTCACCAATAATACATTTTTTATACATTACTGTACCCCTATGTGAGAACATTACAGAGACAAGTTGTTAATAAAAAGGAACAAATGATGGTCTATCTAATCTAGATAGACCATCATTTGTTCCTTTTTATTCATTAAAATTTAATCCTTTGTTGTCTCGAACATGGCACAATATTGTCATCTACCTTCAATTCGAAATACAAAAACTGGCTCAATGGTTTAGTCCTAGACTAAAGTAAAACCTTGTTTTGTAATAAGGCCGTAAGAGTCTGACTTAAAACCTTACTCGCTTACTTCACAACCCCGGCTGAACATCAGCTCTATAGGGCCCCGTCTGTGGTGGTCTATTGGCTCTTTGAGGCGCTCGTGGAACGCTACGCGCCGTACGCTCGGGTCTGGTTCTGGTCGGGTGGCGAGCTACCCTTACTCGCCGTCAACGCTTACGGTGGCCGGAGATCATTGAGCTCTTGATCCCCGATGCCCGGGGTGTCGCCTACTGCGGCAGCTGGGGCGGGAGGAGGAGGATAGCTCCCTCACGCGGTCCGACTCCTTCTTTGCGAGCATAACTGCTTCACAGAAAGAGGAGACGGCTTCCCAGTTCTTCTCGCTCGTTGCCGCCGTCAATCACTTCCCTGAAGACAAGCAGATTAATAGTTACAACTGTATAATGAAAACCCATTAGTTAGTATCTTGATTAAGTTTTTTCAAAAAGTTATTGACCGGACAACGCCGCAGGACATACTAAGCTGATTCTATGTCTAATGCAAATCATTGTGTTATAATCTTTGATAGACAACTTTAAGACGTGCCGACCTGCTTAAGAATTTTAATAGGATTATAGGATTGTATCTTTATTTTCATATTAAGTATGCTGTGTAAAAAGTTTGAAAGAGCCATGCTTCGGCACGAAGGGGTCGGCTCGACCGGAGTGATAACACGGCCTCTCAGAAAACCGATATGAAGCAACATTTATGTACGTTGAGTTTCGACGTGTGAGTGAGGTTACCGCAGGACTTATCCTTCACCCCTCCCTCTCTCCCCATCCTTAAATCCTTAATAACCCTAGGAAGCCGGCAACTCACTTCCTTTGGTACTACGAGTATCCATAAGCAGCGCTCATTGCTTATCACCAGGGCCTCGAGTCTGCTGCAGCTAATTACAATAGTGCCAGAATTGTTGATTTTGACAAGTTTTGGTAATCTACTAACACAATAGCATCATTATGACCTCCCAATGCCACTTCATTGAAATAATTCTTTAGAACGTAATCTCGTACAATGACAAATGATTATTTGACATAAAGCGGTAAATTAATAAAAAAAAATCAGTTCCTTTATTCAATGATTTACGTTTAGAATCGACATCTCGTACTATAATTATATTACGACATCGCCGAACGCCAATGATCAGCCATTTTGAATTAACAGATTACGAACTTTTAGTAAAATGACAATGGAATTGTGTAGGAATGACAACACTTTGAAAATAGTAGACTCGGGCCCCTGGTAATCCGTCTTTTCATTTGCCGACCTATATCATTATAAACGGAGAAGTAACGAGAACGTTGCCAACCTTTAGGAAATTCGGGTTTTGGAGATTGGGGGAGGGGAAGAATGGGGCTTCCGGTAACCTCACTCACACGGTGAAACACAACGCTGTGGTTGTTTCATGCCGGTTTTCGGCGAGGTAGATTTTGTCCTTGACTTTGATACTGTTATCATTTTCAAGGCACATTTGACTCCAAAATAAAACATGGCAATTTCAACTATTATCATAATCATCAGTCTACAAGTACTTATTGCTGAGCAAAGGCCTCTTCTCGTACGGAAAAGGTTTGAGCATTAATCACCACGCTTACTTAAAGCGGATTGGCGATTTCAAATTTATAATTCCAAATTATAAGTACAAGTTTTCTCACGATATTTTCCTTCACCTATTGTCAGTGGTGTCTAATTAGTCATAGAAAGTAGGTATCGAATCAAAAAATGTCACATTAGTACTTGTTAGGTTTCAAACCCGCACCCCAATGCATGATAAGTGGGCACCTTAACCTCCAGGCCACCACGACAATCCAAAGATATCCCACCTAAAATAGCCATTATAATCACCACAACAGGAGGTCAAGGTCATTCGATGTCGCTGTGCAAACTTTTACTGCTAATTTCTCCTTAATTGAGCCGCTCCCGGCTACCGCCCCGATTCCACACGAAAACCACACCTCAGTCATATTCCACTAGCTTTTATTAATATAATGGTATGATTACTTTTTGCAC